GTGGTTTAAGGGAATATGATAGAACACACTGAAGGAACATATTGAGTGAGTTCTTACAGTATTTCGAACAGCAGTATTTCAGCCTATTGGAAGAAAGCTCCAAGGGAAAACAAGTAGCTAAAAGTATGGGTAATTTGCATGCTGACAGGCCTAGGGCCATTAGCACACATCTGGCATCCGAATCCATGACCAGCAGATCCTGGCTTTGCTAAGGGATCTAACTCTGCACAGTAGATGAACAATTTGACCAAATGCAAATATGGGATGAATAACTGAACATGTTATTGTTAAGATGGAATACATGAACATGTTGCGTTTGAATAAGTGAACATGTAGGGATTATGTAGATTAAGTGAATATGTGGACATGTGGACATGGTATAAGTGAACGTGTAGATGTGGAATAAGTGAACATGCAGATGTAGAATAAGTAGTGAACAGGCAGACATGGAATAAGTGAACGTGTAGATGTGGAATAAGTGAGCATGTAGACACGGAATAAGTAGTGAACAGGCAGACATGGAATAAGTGAACGTGTAGATCTGGAATAAGTGAACATGCAGATATGGAATAAAAGAGCATGTAGGCATGGAATAAGTAGTGAACAGGCAGACATGGAATAAGTGAACCTGTAGATGTGGAATAAGTGAATATGCAGATATGGAATAAGTGAACATGAAGACGTGGAATAAGTAGTGAACAGGCAGACATGGAATATGTTTTGAAAAGAAATAATTTTTCAAGTAAGATGAGTATTAACAGTTAAGAATTTGATAAAAATACATTCCATTTAGAAGCAGTTTAGTACAAGTTTACTCTGTTCATTATATCCATTTATGGATGATGAACGTATTTGCATCCCTGAAACAGGGCTATTTCTTCACCTAAGAAGAATGTATCCTATCGTATTTTAATGGTCAGCATTTCCAACTTTTCTCCTGGTTACTTTACTCATTCGGTGGACATCCATCTTCCAAAACCATACCTAAAGCGGCCACATCTTCGTCTCGATTCAAGTGAAACTCAATTGAGCACTTAAGAATTTGGGTCACCAACTTCAAAGAGTCATTTGCCATCTTGGAAAACAACCTTGCACTCTGTTGATCTTGTACTGCTCCTGTTTTAATGAAACTCAATTGATATTTCCTTGTGCGGCCTATCAGCTTGGGAGTCAAGGTCCGATTACATGGTCCTTCCTGAGGGAAATGATAAACATTTCCCACTATTTCCCATTGGATAAAACTTGACTGCAACTTCCATTAAGAGAGCTAATATCTTGGGTCCAGCAGGCCGCTAGGCCATCTGTTTTAGTATCATTTACTTTTGGGTGTTTTTGTAAAGTACATCAGATTAGGTTTATCAGTGTCAGAAATGTCTTCACAGCGTATCATGAAATTGTTAAATGCACGAACATGACTGTCGCTTTTCCTGGTATATGTAAGCAGTAGCATAATGAAGTTGTAACTATTGCATAATGTCTGGCTATTAATGTTTACATAATTTATAAAGTGCAATCTCCTCACCCCTAAACAAACAAACAAATAAATAAATAAAAGCAAAAATATAAACAACCCTATACATAGTTGAATAATAATTGAATTTTTGTGTTTGACGGTTAAAATACACATTCTTCGTGCTTCATGTGGATTACATCTATGCAACATCAATAAAAGATAAATAAATATGATTTAAAAACAAACAAATAAATAATTTCCTGAGGCCTAAATATGTATGATCCTCAAGATGAATATAGATTGGTGTGTTCATGGATAAAAATAGTTGTCTGTATTTGAGAAGTAAACACATGGAGTTGTAATTTACAAGTGAAAGTAAATATCTCTGGTGGAAACGTGGTTTTGTTGATGGCCGGTTTCTTAGAAGAAATAAAGTTGTTTTTTGAAAGAAATATAGTGGGCCCAGTTTCACAATGCAACCTTAGCACTACGACTATTAGATTTCACTGATGCTGATTTCGTGTGGAATGGAGCTGTCTAGACTTGTTTTAATGTAAATCTAGATTGGTTTGTGTTCATAAAATGCATATGATCCAAAGTCATTGTGCAGGACTAAATGACTATTGTAAGTCTGTGTTAAGGGATGGGAGTTACAATGGTCCCTGCCCTAGGAGTGCTTTGTGCATATGAGCCCATTGCCCTAACTAACATATATGTGGTACCTATTGTAAGAATGAAATTGTTATTATCAGAAATATGACAATAATATGACTTGTATAACTCCAATTATTTATGATATGGCTTGGTTTCTGTAAAAATAATGTAAAGGTAAAAATATAGTTCCAAAATAATTCAGTTTAGCGTTTATGGAACATTAATTACATTGGGACATATTGTAAATGTTTTTAATGTAGAGTTTCGACAATCTAGTTTATGGCAGTTTTTTTTATAGATAAATTAACGTGATCAGGACATAGAAAGGGCAACAATTTAAGGAAATCCAAGATTTAGAAAAACCCAAACTCCAATAAAAACAAAATCAAACATGAAGTTAAAAATAATCTCGGACCTGGTTGAGTGTATGACACAGCTGTTACTGTAACGAGAGCGGTAGATGATTGATCATGTCCCCTCGTACACTGACAGTAGGACTGGGGCTGGGTGGGGCCACCGTAGGGATTACCAGCCAGGCTGGGATGGTCAGTAATGGCGGTTTAGTGCACGGGTAACATTTGCTGGACACCCTTCTGCATAACAATCAGGCAGGCCGACAGCCCCTGGCATAATTACTGTTGTTTAATTGAGGCTCAGTTGAGCTTGGTAGGGACAACATGGGTCCAGGGAGTCTAGAGAAACTGCGACTAATCAGGACATTAACGTAAAAAATATCCTATTAATGGCGACATTTTGTACCAATTTTTTCGTAATGCTGTAGAAAGCAAATATTTTGCCACACTTAACATAGGGCTTATTATACAATTGCTGAAAGAAAGGTTGAGTCATGTTTTGTTTCATAGTTTAATAAAGAAATGAGATTATTTTTTGGGTTGAATTATTTAACAAAGGTCTTGGTTATGAGAATAAAATATGGAGGATCTGCTTTTAGTTTTGCATTAAAAAATTGATGTGCTGATAATTGGCGGTAGAGGCTGTGTGTGAGAAGCACTTGGGTGAGAGTCGGCTATGGCGTAATTGGTCATCTTGATACCGACGACTGGTTACACCACTGCCTGGTGGCTTGCCCAATGCCGCCCGCTCACTCGCTCGCCGGCTCTTCTCGGCCAACTGATCGGTAATATTGATCGTGCATGTGAGCTGTACATCGAGTGTGTTGTGTAACTCTATCACCCTGACATGCTTGCGGCCATCGCTGGCTCCTTCCCCTTCCCCTCTCGCCATTCTCTCCTCGTCCTTTTTCTCCCGATGACTTCGGAATACTGTTTGTTTGGTGACCTTGTCGTACAAAAAACAAAATCACCTTTGGTATTCCCCCGACTGCAGCCATTGTGCCCAGTGACAGTTCTGTTGTTTGACACACATGTTGCCATCACCCATCTCTCATTGCGAGGGCGCTGACTGTGTCACTGCGATGGCGGTTCAAAGTGCATGTGGGGGATAATTGTCTGTAATAATGGTCTTGTGACCTCATTGGCTATTGATAGGTCTATTATCGGCAGGCAAGGCGCAATAATAAAGGGTATGCAGTGTATTGCAATTACCTGCAACGTAATGGGCACGAAAATGCAATGATATATATGTTAACATAGCAGACACAATTAGCACAGTGGTGAAGCAGTATACGCATTCATAAATAAACATGGATCTCGAAAGATGCTGGGGCGAAAGAAAATGAAAGGTTTATTTAATATTTGTTCAAGTTGATCTCCTTGAGCAAATACAATAAAGCAATATGATTACCCCATTAGGTGATGTGAGCAGACGGCCCGATTATGATCAGGCAGTGAGTTGTGTGGCAACTGGGAAAGGCAGAGTTACTTCCCTTATTCCTCCTGGCTGAACAAGGCAACTGTTTGTCGCACGGTTAGGAAAGGGCATGTTTCTGGACCCCTGTGACCTACCACTGTTTCAGTCAGTGTCTCTGACAGAATGCCATGGCATTATAGTAGTTCTATTATTTTTACCTGGTTAAAGCTTTTTTGAAGAGAAACTTGATGAAAGTAGGAGGCACAAAAGACTGACAATGTTGTGGCCTTGGGGCGAAGCTTTCATGTTCTCAGGAGTCCATCTTTCAAAGGCTAATACCAAAATTGATACGTTAGACTCGAGTATCTTTTAATAAGCATCATTTATTGGATTCCGTCCTGCTTCCTATTGCTTCATTTCAGCAGAAATATGATCTTATGGCAAGCAGTTTTTAAATGAAATTCAAACACGCTTGTTTCAACTTGAAAGATATAGAAGATACTGGCTGCAGTTGCAGTACAAAGCAAATGATTACCTACTGCTCGTTCACTGCTAATATGCTACACTGTAATTATCTGTTTTCATTCAGTCACAAAAAATCTAATTGCTTTTGTCATGTTTGTTTTTTCGTTTCATCTCCTATTTTCCATGTAATGCTGGGGTAATGAGTTTTAACGGAGGTAGATTTCTAGATTGATCCAATGTTTGAAGAGTAGACTCAAGTTCAACCAGCCAGTAGTCGCACATGAGAAATAAAACATTGTCATAAAACATTGTCATAAAACATTGTCGGAATGCGTAGACCAGCAACCATGTCGCAGACGTGTGGTGCCGAAAACTCGAGTTGGTTAAGTGATCACCAGGTGGCGAGTCTGCACTACGGTGGTATAATAACCCATATTAGAGTCGTGGAACAGTGCTACCATTTGTGTATCCAAATACTTTAATAGTTTTTCTCCCGAATTTGTCGTGATTAATTATTTTCATATGATGAAATGATATTGTGAAATCATTTTGAATGCCCCCAGACCACATGTGGTTTCTGATTTTCTAATTCATAAAAACACAATTTGTGCCTTGCTGAGATTCAGGGATCTTTAATTGTTCTTGTTTGCTGTTTCAGATAAGTCAGCTGCACAGCCCCCAGGTCAAGGGCAGGGTTCCCTTGGGTTCATTATGCCTCCCTACTATGCCAACGGTGCTTCAATGGTAAGTTTACCAAATATTTGCCTTTCTCCATAGATTCATGTCACATACAACAAAATTCATTTCTAACTCGTACCATATTTTTTCAAATAAAATCACATTTTAGAACACTTTATTTTTGGGGACTGTAAGAAATTCCACTGCTGTATCTGATGTGATTATGTATGTTTTTCACATACCATTGCTGAAAAAAAAAGGTTTAAAATGTCACAGGAACCAGTAAAGTGTTACTCAACATTCTATATGACATTAAAATTTTACGCAACTTTCTGTATGGCATTAAATTCTTGCTGAACTTACAACATAACATCAATTAGTCATCTAGTGCTGGAAAAGAGATGTGTAGTAAGTAGAATTAATGATTCTTGTAAGCGTGAAGAATTCATGTGAACGTGTTGTATGTGACTTGGCTCTGTGCAGCATATGATGCATTATCAGTTGTCATGACACCTTTAGGAGCTGCATTGTTTACGGTAAGTGATGTTTAGATGTTAATGAAGACCGTACACAGATCATCAGTGCTTTCTATGTTTTGTTAAGAATTAGAGAAAATACCACTGTTCCGACAACTAATCCTTCCAAGCTACCCTTTATACCATGGGAATCTGTTCTGATAAGAAGATATCAGGTAAACGTTTTTAGCGTGGATACCCAGCTAAATCTTTCCCGCTAAAATTGATATAGACTTTCAGAGTTTTAAGTGACACGGGACAATTGTACCCACTTGAGTTTATTGAGTTTCGCGCTGTATGAAATTCTAGAAACTATGTGTCGTGGAGCATGCGTGTATTTTTCACATGCTAGCAGCTCCAGTAATGTTACACAGCATGTCCCATGGCTTAAGAGCTCTCCAACAATGGGCAAAAGAGGCTCTCATCTCACTGAAAATAATCAATAACTAAAATTTAGGAAAGAAATGCTGACCCAAATGGAGACTTGGTTAATCATTTGAAGAAAACCACATCTTTTGTGCAAGTGGCCTGAAGTCTTGAGAACAGAAATCAATATCACTCGGCTAGTGTTTTGAGGGACAAGATCTGAAGAAGAGGAAGACAACTGGCCGTTCCTCCATGTTATCAGTAGTCCTGCATGACTGTGGATGTATTGTCTTATGGGTACAGTCATACACCACCCTGACACCATTGCATTGTAGGTCACCCTCGCGCCATGGCATTATACCAAGGCAACTGGTCATGTTATCAGTAGCCCTGCATGACGGGGGATGTATTGTTTTGTGGGGTACAGTCGTACACCACCCTGACACCATCAGATTTATCACGACCCCCAACACCGTGATCACACAGTACTTGTCCAGCCTCATGGCGTGTTTTCCTCGTGGAGTATTCTTGTCCATGTTCTTGTGTCTCCCCTGAGGCCAACTCTACCCACCCACAAATATTGTGAATATGTCCAGTGCCAAATGCTGCAAGTAGCTAGGAGGCAAAGATGTGGAGGCACTGTGGCGCCATGTTCCTTTATGCAGTGTTTAGTCTGTCACCAATGCTTGCCTAGGAGAGAGGCACTTGTAGGTGTTGTAGTCTAGGAGGTACAAAATTGTTATTAGATTCAAAATTAACAGATAAGTATAAATACAGGAAAATAAATGGGTTTATTTAAGCAATAGCCCAAATAATAACATGGGCAAACTTTCAAAACTTGGAGATTCCTACTTACCTGAAGGATGCCTTCCAACCCCCACTTATCCCAGGGGCATCATTCCACCCTGCACCCATCCCAGGGACATCATTCCACCCTCCACCCATCCCAGGGACATCTATCCACACCCCACCCATCCCAGGGACATCATTCCACCCCCCACCCATCCCAGGGACATCATTCCACCCCACACTTATCCCAGGGGCATCATTCCACCCCCCACCAATCCTTGAGGCATCATTCCATCCTGCACCCATCCCAGGGACATCATTCCACCCTGCACCCATCCCAGGGACATCATTCCACCCTCCACCCATCCCAGGGACATCTATCCACACCCCACCCATCCCAGGGACATCATTCCACCCCCCACCCATCCCAGGGACATCATTCCACCCCACACTTATCCCAGGGGCATCATTCCACCCCCCACCAATCCTTGAGGCATCATTCCATCCTGCACCCATCCCAGGGACATCATTCCACCCTGCACCCATCCCAGGGACATCATTCCACCCTCCACCCATCCCAGGGACATCTATCCACACCCCACCCATCCCAGGGACATCATTCCACCCCCCACCCATCCCAGGGACATCATTCCACCCCACACTTATCCCAGGGACATCATTCCACCCTCCACCCATCCCAGGGACACCATTCCACCCTCCACCCATCCCAGGGACACCATTCCACCCTCAACCCATCCCAGGGACATCATTCCACCCCACACTTATCCCAGGGGCATCATTCCACCCCCCACCAATCCTTGGGGCATCATTCAATCCTGCACCCGTCCCAGGGACATCATTCCACCCCCCACTTATCCTTGGGGCATCATTCCACCCCCCACCCATCCCAGGGGCATCATTCCACCCCCCACCCATCCCAGGGACATCATTCAACCCCCCACTTATCCTTGGGACATCATTCCACCCCCCACCCATCCCAGGGACATCATTCCACCCCCCACTTATCCTTGGGGCAACATTCCATCCCACCCATCCCAGGGACATCATTCCACCCCCCACCCATCCCAAGGACATCATTCCACCCCCAACCCATCCCAGGGACATCATTCCACCCCCCACCCATCCCAGGGGCATCATTCCACCCTCCACCCATCCCAAGGACATCATTCCACCCCCCATCCATCCCAAGGACATCTTTCCACCCTCCACCCATCCCAGGGACATCATTCCACCCCCAACTTATCCCAGGGGCATCATTCCACCCCCCACTTATCCTTGGGGCATCATTCCATCCCGCACCCATCCCAGGGATATTATTCCAACCCCCCACCCATCCCAGGGGCATCATTCCATCCCGCACCCATCCCAGGGACATCATTCCACCCCCCCACCCATCCTAGGGGCATCATTCCATACCCCACCCATCCCAAGGACATCATTCCACCGTCCACCCATCCCAGGGACATCATTCCACCCCCCCACCCATCCCAGGGACATCATTCCACCCTCCACCCATCCCAGGGACATCATTCCACCCCCCACCCATCCCACAGGCATCATTCCACCACCCCCACCCATCCCAAGGACATCATTCCACCCCCACCCATCCCAGGGACATCATTCCACCCCCCACCCATCCCACAGGCATCATTCCACCACCCCCACCCATCCCAGGGACATCATTCCACCCTCCACCCATCCCAGGGACATCATTCCACCCCCCCCCACCCATCCCAGGGACATCATTCCACCCCCCACCCATCCCAGGGACATCATTCCACCCTCCACCCATCCCAGGGACATCATTCCACCCCCCACCCATCCCAGGGACATCATTCCACACCCCACCCATCCCAAGGACATCATTCCACCCCCACCCATCCCAGGGACATCATTCCACCCCCCACCCATCCCAGGGACATCATTTCACCCTCCACCCATCCCAGGGACATCATTCCACCCCCCACCCATCCCAGGGACATCATTCCACACCCCACCCATCCCAAGGATTTCTTTCCATCCCCTACCAAATCATAGGGCATCATTCCATCCCCCACCCATCCCAGGGACATCATTCCACCCCCCACCCATCTCAGGGACATCATTCCACCCTCCACCCATCTAAGGGACATCTTTCCATCCCCTAACCATCCAAGGGACATCTTTCCATCCCCTACCAAATCATAGGGCATCATTCCATCCCCCACCCATCCATCCATCCAAGGGGACATCATTATCATTATATTGCCATCAGAAAACCCAATCCATTCCCTGTTCTGATATCTGGTGCCATATTTCACTTGCAACATGATTTTATGATAACAGCATTTGGATTCCTTAATATGATTTTGTGTGTGGAGAATTATGGCAATTTTACTGATTTCAGTGTTCTTATTTTTTAAATCAAATGTGGTTTTCTGGAAGATTACAGCTACGAGTACTGGGACTTTTTTAACTTGTCTTCTTCCTTGGTTTCACTCAACTTGGAAAGCTGTATAAGGGGAGGTAACTGCTGTCCAGCTCAGGTGGTCGTTACAAAACAGAACACTTTCTCTAAAAACATTGTTTTTCAAAATGATAATGTGATCATTTTTGCCAGCTGATACTCCAGGCACATTTATGCCATTAGATGTGTGTGTGCTCTCCAGAATATCTTAAAAGTGATGTATTTCATAGAGAGTTATTTTGTGCAAGCACTTGCAGCCACATAGAACACAGCACAATTACGAAATCTTTTTAAACAATGATGCATAACAAATTCATTAAATATATTTGATTGTTTCTATTGACACAAATCCAATATTGTCTGAAGCAGATGATTGATATCAGGAACCTGACACCCATCATTCAATAAAACTGTAAGGTTAAATCCCGCGTAGGGGCTGACACACACAGCGACACTGCAAGTGCAGCTATTTAGTGTTTGTGTTTATTGTAGGCCTGACATCTGGAATCAGGGTCCCAGTCTAGTCCGTGGACCTGGTCAGCCTATTGGCTATTGATCCGGACAAGCTCAATAGCCGGAGTCATTCACTGGGCATGCTTTGTTTGTTCTTCTGGTGCACGTTCATTGAACCTTCCTTCCAACTGCCTTCAATACTGGTGATGACCATACAATCTTCGCCGAGGTATTAACACGTAAGCCAGTTATTGGGCTGTATGGGCAGTTAACACACTTGCAGTCTAAAATTAAATTGTTTGTATCCTAGTGGGCCTGTTGTTTTGGTATACTATTATTGACTCTGACGATTATTCGTTGGATGATATCCCGAGAAGTTGTGAAGCTGGGATTAATATTCTTGAACATGTTGTTATATGACGAGCAGTACTTGTGCTCCTGTTTAATGCAATGTCAGAGCTGTTTTTGCATGTTAT